GATAAGGATGGTCACTATGATGATGCTTTATGCAATGTCTTCAGATCTGGAATAAACAGTAAACTAAAAATTAGTTCATATGGATTTTTAGCCACATTTTTGAGCTGTTCAGTAATAGTTGGATTTACAGAACAGCCATGCTCAGAAGGAAGTACGCGTGAAATTTTTATTCCTAATCTTATTAATATATAAAGTATTTCTTCTTTATTGTCTACAACAACAATAGTGCGACGAGTCCTTCATCATATTTTAACTATATTGCGATTCGGTCAATTACCTAATGTAATGTGTTATGATTGTGCGTGCACATTCAAATTATTTATCAATCGACATTTCGGTTCAAATGAGTTAAAGTCAACAGATTCGACGCAATTTCTTACATCACTGACAATGGCTATTGACCGATTCCCTGTAAAAAATCACAAGAGGCCTATGTGTAAAACAGTGATGCGACCTGATCATCCATGTCATAACGATATTTACGTATCTATTAATACACAAGTTGCTGAACAGGGCTTTTCTTATCTATCAAAATTTTAAAGTTCATTTAGAGGACACAGCTATCCAAAATCAACGATATTTTTTACAGTTCTATTTCATTTAAAAATTGTACAACCACTGGTATTAGCTCGTTTGAACAAGCTGTATAACTCGGTCAATCATATATTTCTGGTTTTAAACTTTCTATTAATATATTTTATCTCATCCTATCTTATCTATTCGAAGCCAGTCTGCATTATTTTTTATTTCGCAATAAAGTTCTGTTTAACACTCTTCCGTAAAAATTTTGTTGATGATTGTTTTGTTGTCTCCGATCCTATTGAATAAATTGGAAGCAATGCTACATGTCTGATCCACTGGTTAGTTCTGATAGAACTGGTAGGTAAATATCTGATATCTGATCTACTGGGTAGTCTACACACAAAACAGTAGGGTTTCCCTGAATGGGTGTTTACTTTTTTAATAATTGAATTCAATTGTACAAAATTATGGATAGTTAATTTTAGTTCCTATGTGCATTTCTGATTGCGAAAAATTTTAAGATTTTGTGAGGTTGAAATTTTTTTATAACTGTACAAGTCAACAAGAAATATTTCAAATGTAAATAGGCATGATATTATTAAGTAGAACAATTGTAGATTGAGCAAGAAACAAGAAAAATGATTTCTTTTTTTATTTTTTAAAATTTTAATTTTTGAGTAAAGTAAGAAGGAAACAAAAGTAACAGTGTGAGAAAGAAAAGATAATGAAGGTATAGATTAGAAGGATGAAGGAAAAGAAACATTTTATATTAATTTCAATATTAATAAATAAACACGAAGCCTTTCGTATTGTATCTTTTTCAAGCGAGTGAAATTCTGAAGGATGACATTGTCACACAACACTAGATATACTGTATCAAGATGATCTATCAATTAACATATTATAAGACACGAAACAATTGATCAACATAATATAATTGACTTTCTAATCATCAATCGGAACCAATGGCGGGCCAGCGTCCCAAATATACGTTTGGCAATAAACTCTCATATCTTACTACGAGTTTGAAAAAACGTTTGCAACTTTGCGAAAATACTGCACAACTATGTATATTTATGCTGGAAACGAGACATTTTTTCTTTCTTTTTTTTCCGTTGAAATAAATAAATTAAAATATATCGTTTAAAAAAAAGATTTCTTTTAAAAAAACCATTGCTGTTTCATCTTTCTGTGCAGCGTAATCGGTTACTACTTGATATATTCTCCTGGCCACAAATAGTTTTACACGATACTTTTAATAAATCATCACTATAAATGAGGATTTTGAGAAAAGTAATTATATATTCAGGTAGGGCGTGAAGTTCTCTGAAACATGTATATGTTCGATCTAAATTGTATGTGTTTAGAAAAAATACCTTAAAGAAAATGAATACAACCCTCACTAGATTCCTCGAAAATGCATTTTTTTTGTGCACTTTCGTTCAAATTTTTACGCTATTTTTATCCTGCTTTCTTTCTTTTTCAAGTTTATTTTCAACAAAAGAACAAGTTATAACAAAAGTAAGCCTATATTCTGAAAGCGGGTGAAATACTCTATCATTCTGTATTTTTCTCATTTTTCACTTTGCTGCTTATCTGATGAACAAAAAGGGATAAGAAAAATCGAACGTAATCAGGACTCTGATAACGAGAGTGCGTTCTTTATTCTTTAAGGTATCTTTTTTATAAGCATATACAATTTAAATCAAATATATACACGATTGCAGAGAACTCCACGCCCTATCCGAATATATAATTACTTGTCTCAAAATGTTCATTTATAGTGATCATATATTAAAAGTACTTTGTAAAACTATTTTTGACCAGTGGAATATATAAATGTCAAATCTTTCTTAGTATTGAAAAAGGCAATATCTGACAAACTTTCTTATCCAATACTATTTCTTAGGCAAGTTTTTAATTCTCATACTTTTTATGGTATGGCAATTGCCACCAATTGCCCTCTGGTGGCCCGCCAATGATCGGAACACTCGTGAACTTTCATTGTTTTCTACCAATTAACAAGACAGTATAGACTATTCATCAATCTTCTCAATATCACCATTCAATGGTTTGCGTCCTTTTCTGGCTTCAGTGAATTTGTTCTCATTGATATTGTCAATATCCTTCTGTTGTCTCTACAGTTCCTAATCCACTAGT